TGCCCCCCCCACCCGAGTGCACAAATTTTTATGCACCGGGCCTCTAGTATATATATAAAAGCCTAAGCTACCAAATAACCAGTCAACTGGTCGCTATGACCTGCACTGACCACCAGGGGGCAGACGCTCAACACAGGTCAGGCGCGAGCCTCTCCCGATTAGGACTGAATGGGCGAAAGCCGGCGGCAGGTGCAGCAGGGCCAGGATGAGCAGGAGCAGCAGGCGGCGTTGGACTGCCAGTTTTGGCCCAATCCCCACAGGCCATGCCAAGGGACTCCATGGTGCACGAATCCGTGCACCGGGCCCCTAGTACATAAATAATATTTAAACAAGGCACTATCATTTCAGTAATGAAAAACAATGTGAATAATAACTACATTTGAATATTTATATAAAACTACGTATTCATAATATATGAATAAACAAGGTATAATATATTTTTAAGGAACTGTACTTTTATAAAAACTATCATAAAAAGAGCTTCTTGATTGTAAGTCCTTTGACAGATATAAAAACTGAAAACCTCCAAGTGCTTTCGTGTGCTTTGAGAAGATCTTAAATTTTATACAATAGGTAAATTGCTAGCACACTATAAATTATTTCCTGAATCAGCATATTTTCAGCCAATCTTGGTTATATAAATCAATTCATATACACACAAATCAAAACACCAACACATACACACAAATAAAAATCCTACCTAGACTATCTTGGCAGATACTATTTTCCTCATGGGTTGCCCAAAGCTTTCCTCCATACACACAGGACTCTCTCTTTCTATCCCTCTGCCTCCACTTCCACCAACTCAACCCAGCGGGAAAATTCAATGTGAGGAAAGGATAACATCGAAAAAAGATTTTAAGGTCATAGTTAAGCAACTCAACATAAAGCTGGAATTGCTAAGACAAAGATTTGATTACAAGTGTTGAATAGGAGCAAGAGTTTTATTAACCTAAGGATATCTCTTATTTTCTTTTCACTTTCATTAACTTCCCCTTTTCTAACTTATTTCCCTTGGGAATGATATTACAGAATGAATCAGGGAGCTCTTACTATTGAGGGAGAACTCCCAAGAAAGACAAGCAGGATAAAGTACCGGACCCAAGGAAAAGATGCATGGAGCAGATCATTAGCCTTCCAGGTAAAAGAAATTCTCATCAATGCATAAAGTCCATCAGCACAGTTCATCAGGGCAAAAGACTAGATAGAAACGAAGGAATAATTTAGCCAGATCTACCTTTATGCCAGGAAATGGTAGGAGCCATGGTAAACAACAAGATAGCCTACTGTGGTTTGTTATCCTATTACTTTTCTCTACAAAGTTACAACTACAAATTCAATTGTGAAACTGGCACTAATTTGCATCTCAACAATGCACTATATTTTAAAACAGAAAACCTTACTAT